CAACCTTTTCCAGCTGCTATCAAGTTCTGAGAAAGGGTCTGTAGACTGCTTTCTCTCCATAGATGCTGCTAGAACTGCAGAGTTTCTCCATAAATTTGTATGCTTTTTCAGATTTCCAGAATACACAGTTCTTTGATTTGTATTACCACATTGTAGTCAAGCTTATTGGAACAAGGACAAAGATGAAGCTGATGAGCTGAGGAAAGGGCAGTAGGCTGATGGTTTTAAAGAGGTAGAAGTATGTAGTCTTGGAGTATAAGAGTTTGAAAATGAATTTCAGTGTCAAATAGGAAACAAAAATTGTGAATGATCTAATTCAGCCACAAAGAGTTACCAGGGAGAGGGATGGAATCTGTGGATAAGGTAAATTGGTTTGATTTCTCCAACTTCCTTGTGAATTTCACCTTCACATTTATTTAAGTTTTACATTATTCAGTTTAATCTGAAGTTAGAAAAATCTTCTCACTTACAATGGTCAAAGCACTAGAACAAATCATTTGTGATGTAGTTGAGCTCAACACATGACAGCAAGTGCTGCTCCCTTGTAAATCCATCCATTGCTTGTGGAAGTTTAGACTGTACCAAGATTGCTGAACTATGGCCAGAGATAGCAAGAACTGCAGGTGGTGGAGTCAGAGATAACACATCTTGGAGCTGGAGGAGCACAGCACGCCAGGGACCATCAGAGGAGCAGGAAAGTTGATATTTCGGGTCGGGACCCTTCTTCAGAAAAATCTGAATTGTTCCCAATTATAGAACCTTTCTGGATTTGATGTTTCAGATGCTCCCTGATAGGTGTTTGAAGTTGGGTAAGCGAAAACAGATCTGAACTGTCTTTGACCATCCTCCTAAATTTGCTATTGCTTTTGAGATAATAGAATTCAAACCACTTGTTAGCAAGAGTGGCACTGGTTAGCACTGCTGCCTCACAGCGCCAGGGACCTTTCTTCAATTCCAACCTCTGGCGACTGTCTGCGTGGAGCTTGCACATTCTCCCCGTGTCTGTGTGAGTTTTCTCTGGGTGCTTCAGTTTCCTCCCACAGTCCAAAGATGTGCAAGTTAGGTGGATTGGCCATAGGAAATGCAGGGTTACAAGGATAGGGTAGGGGTCTGGCTCAGATGCTGTTCAGAGGGGTGATGTGGACTTGATGGGCCGAATGGCTTGCATCCACACTGTAGGGATTCTATGAATATGTGAGGAGGATGAAATACTGATTTACTTTAAATCAGAATTAAATTGTAATTGTGCATTAAGACTTTAGACTATGGCCTTGGCTTTCATAGGAAAATAGGAACAGGAGCAGGCCAAATAGCCAATTAAGTCTGAAAAATGACTTAATACTATCATGGCTGATCAAACACTTCAATACCTTTTGCATAACTCCTTATTTGCATAACTCTTTATGTCACTGTAATCAGAAATCAATCAATCTCTGCTTTAAACATACTCAAAGGCTCAGCTTGTTTAGGCCCTTGGAGTAGAGAATTCCAAAACTTGACAAGCCTCTGAGTAAAGAAATTTCTCTTTGTGTTATCCTAAATGCTATTGTCTTTGTTTTTATATTGTACCCTTGGTTGTAGACTCCTCATCAAGGGCAATCATCTTATTAACAACTACCCTTTCTGTCCTTTTAAGTATTTTGCAGCTTTCAATGAAATCACCTATCATTTTTCAAAATTCTTGAGCATACAAGCCCACCCTGGTGAAACTTTGCTGCACTCCCTTTCAGCAATTATATCATTTCTGAGCTAAGGAGACCAAAACTGCACATACTATTCCAGATTCTGACATTTAGTTGAAGGAATATTTTATCATCCATTCTGGATATCAAACAAATCTGATTCAATTGATAGATTGAAAGAGATGGTGGTGAGATGGAGCTGGCTATCATCATGTGTACGTGTGGAACCTGACCTTGTGTTCCTGGATGATGTTGTCAAGGGGCAGGATCTAAGTGATAAACAGGAGGGCTCCAAGGATAGATCTTTGTGGGACACAAGAGGCAATGGTGTGGGAGCTGGAAGGAAAGATGATTCATTGATAAGAATGCAACCAGACAGGGATAGTGCCACTCAACTGGATAATAAAGTAGAACCATGAGAGGAGAATGGTGTGGTTATCCATTTCAAAAGCTGCTGTTCATTGAGAAGGATGAAAAGGAATAGTTTATCAATGTCACAATTACAAATGATTTCTCCAATGAGAAACTGGCCACTCTTAGAAAAAGCTCAGTGATAGTTCATGTCTTCACAATAGCATTATTTCACTTATTTCAGTTGCAGAGAACTTCAATTTCCTTTCATCTACTATTTAGTTCCATTTTAACTTCAATTTCCTTTCATCTACTATTTAGTTACATTTTAACTTACCTTCATATCTAAATGGTGAAGCTAGAAAAACCTTCTTTATAACAAAATATTAGAATAAGCAATTCATGAGGCAGTCAAACCTCACAAACGGCATCAAGTGCTGCTTCCCTTGTCACTTCATCTATTTGAATATGACAACAAAAATGAAAGAAGGAGAGAAAGACCCACAAAGTGGTCATCCAACATTGTCCAGGTGGAGAAAGTAAACCTGTAACATGAGATCAGGTTTGCTGAAAATTTTGCAAGACATTTGAAAAGAATATAAGGATTCTGCTGACAGAATTTTATGTAGTACTAAAGACAGCTGGGAAATCCCAATCAGAATCACGTTTGACTGACACAGAAAGATAATGAGAGATTCAGGTAATGTGCCTCACATGTTGATTCCTGACTAGTGTGAGTCTAAGATCTTTTTTTTGTCAGACACTTAATAAATTCACTCTCTATCTCACACCAATGAGATGTTTTCAAAATGTAAGTTCTTCCAGTGCCATAAATTAACCCTTTAATCACATTGTAAGTTGGACATAAACAATTTGATATGAATAGAGGTGACAAAAATAACAAAACTGAGATTGCTGGACATTTCAAACAAAAATAAAAGATCTGGAAATGAACACATTGACTAGTATTTAATAAAGAATGATGGTTTGGATGTGACACATTGCCAGACTGCTATAAATATTCCCAGCACACTGTTCTCATTGTAGTAGGTAGAATTTGCTATGCATACACATGTGTATGGCTAGAAGATAGAAAAGGAACATATTTTAGTCATGAAACATAGAATAGCAGCAATAGATCTGCTGAAATAAACGTCTTATCTGAAAAATCAATGTTTAGGAAATGTTTAGAATATAATTTGAATTGAGTGCACTATTCTCAATGAATAATCCTTTTTCTGATAATAAAGTTAACTCAAATGAAATTCTGAAATACTAAGCTTGAAATAGTATTATGCAAGAGAAATTGGAACTGAAAATAATTGTTCAGCTCATTGAGGCTTGTCCTTTGTTCCATAGGAATGTAGGAACAGAGGAATAGACCGCTGAGGCCATTGAACCTGCTTCTCCATTTAATGTGATAATGGCTGATCAAACTCTTCAATGCCTTTATCCACACTATCTGCATAACCTTTTATACCAATGGCAATCAGAAATTTATCGATCTACATTAAGTATACTCAAAGACTAAGTTTCCACACCCCTCTGCAGTACAGAATTCCAAAGGTTCACAACACTCCTTTTTTAAAGACCGCACACCGCCTATGTACAGTCGTGTCTTTTAACGTATTTTCCCAATTCAGCTGAACCAGTTGCTAAGTGCCTCATAATGTCCCTTATTCAAATTTAACTCCCTCACATTCAAAGGCAATGTAATGTTCTATCAAATTGTGGTTGCTCACCCCGAGGTTCTTTTATAATAATTAATCATTAATTAGCCTCTTTTTTTACATAATGCTAGATCTAAAGTAGCCTGCCCTCTAGCCGGGTCTTCAACATACTGCTTTAGAAAACCATACTTGAGACACTTCAAAAACTTGTCCCGTCCAGTTTTAGTGTGCAATTGGGGGATGTGTTAGCTCAGTTGGTTGGACAGCTGTTTTGTGATGCAGAGTGGTGACAACAGTATGGGTTCAATTCCCACACTAGGTGAGGTTATTATGAAGTCTCCACCTTATCAACCTCACCCCTTGCAGAGACATGGTGATTCTTAGTTATAACCATCACCAGTTATCTCTCTCTCCCTCTGTCTATTGAAAGAGTGGAACTATGGTGACTTTACTTTTAGTGCTCAGTTGGCGTATGTGATCCAGATCCAGACTGAGGTCACCCATTTAGCACTGTCTTTGTGGCGAATTATACTTGTGAAAGTACAGTAAAATGTGTCTCAGTAACAATAAATTTCCATCCATCCATCCATCTATCTATCATGTTTCCTATGCTATAAGCTTCTCTCATTTCCTGATTAATGCACCACAACCCACTATCATGACTATTTGGTGCTCTATAAATAACTCCAAACAATGTTTGCTGCCCCTTGCCTCTTGAGCTCCACTCAAAAAGATTTCATGCACTGTTCTGAGGTTCTCCCTTACTATTGTACTGATCCTATATTGTATTATCAGGGCAATTCCATCTCTTTTCTCTTCTTGCCTGTCATTCCTAAACATCAATATCCTTAAATATTCAGTAACCAGTCGTGATCATGATGTAGCCAAGTTTCTGAAATGGCAATTAGATCAGAACACTTCACTCCTTTCTGGGTCTTTAGATCACCTATCTTGTTGCGAATGGTGTTGCCTTTAGGTAGAGTGCCCTTAACTTTGCCTAATTGACATCATTCTGCCTTTGAAGAATAATCAATGCTTGTCTTTGTTTCTCCTTTTCTGTAGACCACATAATATCTTTTCTACTTCCTGTTATTAACTTTACTTCCCTCCAATTTGGGTTACCCCTCAAGTTCCCAAGGCTCTGGCAAGGTAGTTTAAACTCACCCCAATAGCAACATCAAACCTCCCTGCGCAAATATCAGTCCCAGTCCTGTACAGTTCTCTATAAACCAAGCTTAATGTTGCTATCCATTTGCTTTACATAACATTAGATGGTCACAATGTAGACAAAACATACTGTCAAAAATTATCTCATCCAATTCTCGAAATCGAACTCTTCTTTCAGTTCTTGTTCTGTGAGAAACATAACCATCTGCATTTTGCGTCATTTTGGATTTCCTCCTCAGTATAGATGTTGGACATTTAAGTGCAATCACCTGGTGGTTTAAAAATATTATTAAACAATCTCTGTATTCACCAGCAATCTATAATTCTCTATTTGTGGTTGATACAATTTAATTTAAAAAATATAAAGTTTTTAAGCAAATGGCTGTAGACAATTAACTCCACTTCAAACATCCTTTCACTGGATTCCTAGATTTTTTTTTCCTCTCAGACACCACGTAGTCTGTCCCATATTGTTAAATTTTCATCAAAAAGGTAATTTTCAAGGAAATAAAGGTCAATATTGACCCTTAACTGAACTCTTGATTAGCTGAAAATATCTGATCAAGAAGCTAAGCACTATTAGGTCTTCTCTGATTTTTATTTAATGATGGGTATAAATATAAATGACAGCTAATCTAGTTTGTAAGACAAGTTCATCTTGCTTAAGAATAAGTTCAGGAAGACACAAATGTCCCGCAGAAGCACACGTTGACATGCTAAGATATCATACCTCCTGTGCATGACACGTTTTTGAAGATAATGTATTTATTTTAAGTCTTCTTGCATCTGGAAAGTTTTCAAACGTTTGTGGCAAAACCTTATTTGAAATATCAAGCAGTCGATCAGTAGTAGAATCCTGGGAGATGGCTGAGTTATCTGTTTGTTTAGAATCTAGAAAAAGTCAGCAGATATTATGTCACATTTGTACAAATTTCACTTTAATAAACTTACATTTGTGTGTTTAATGTAACCCCACGTGCAAATGTGCCAGTATGATGCTAACTGATGCCATCACATAGGACGTACCACGGAATGGTCTGTATGTTGAGAGCCTGCTACAGCAAGGAAGAGGAATAAGGTGTATACAGGGCAATGGGTCCTGCTAACATTACTGGAATTTGCCTTGCAACATTCCTATTCCATCCCTGGTCTCTGAGTCCAAAAATGTTGGTGTGAATGAGGAGGTCAGTGGTTTAGGGCAAGGAGGTTTACAGTAAATTGGGAGGCAATGCATTAGGATGGCCAAGAATAGGGGACCCCACAGCTCCATGGCTTGTACAGTGCATGAGCCTGCGTGCATTGTTTCCCTTTATAGATCCTCCCATTTGTGGGTCCTGCAGTCCCCTCCCTCACAGATCGAGTCACCAACACTATCCGCTATGAATATGGTCGCTGCCATTTTGTTTCCCATTGTACCCTATTAATTTACAGCATAATGGAAGGTGACAGTGATCGTCCCTTGGCCAGCGTCTTGCAGCGTCCTCCACTACATGTTAGTGAAGCCCCAAACATCCAGTTGCCTTCCCCAGTATTCAGGCTCCCTTGCCCACTACCAACATCCCCCTTTTGCCTTAGTCACTGAGGATGGACGTGACAGACTTGAGCAACGTAACCTGACAGCCCCAGATACGAAGTAGTCAAACCCCTGACCGGTGGCTGTACATCTCCCTGACCAGGTTAGCTCTACTGCTGGATCGGCCACACAGGACAGTCTATGACCCACTCCCTGGAATATAGAAGCGTGGTTCCTCTCACTGAGAAGACGCCGTCTGTAATGTGGACAATCCCCTGGACTGGTGTAGGAGACTGCCCTTAACTTATTCTGCTGTGTCCTCTGACTGACAGATGCCTCCATGGATTTGGTGAAGACTAATAAGGCATGGCAGCTTCCTTGTAACATATGCAGTGTGTTTGCTGAATAAGCTGCTGGCACAGCATGCAGGTGGTAAGATTAACATAGCTCTGATCCAGCAAACTGTCTGCCCCCTTAACTGAGGGCTGCCTGATTGTGTGGCTGCACTAATTATCACAGCAAGGCAAGGCGAGGCAAGGCAAGGCAGGGGAAGGCAGGGATGCTATCAGCAGGCAGGTGCTAAGTGTAGCAAGTGCTAAGAGAAAGTGAGCAGCTTTGAGATGCAGCCTGGTCCAATCCATGAGTTTAGTGCCTGTGCCTGTGCCTCCATCTAAAGTATCTTTGCAGCAGCCTTTCAGTGCTAGTTACAGGTCCACTCTGCAATACAGGCCTGTGCTTTCAGAGTGTCCTTCAAGCATAGCAGAGAGGTGTCATGATGGTCATAGAGGTGCCATGATAGTCATGAAAGATTGACAAATTCAGATGCCAATGTCTGTGGATGAGGTATGCATGCAACTGGTGCCCACAGATCATGCCGTGAAGTGGTGTTTCACACTGAGCAACATGGAGGCTCCCCACAGCCAACAGTGAGCCAAAATCGTCAGGTACCTACTCTGACCTCCACGTCGAGAATTTTCCATATCTAACTTGTTTGATGCACTTGGTAAAATAGGAAGCTGAATATTATTGAGGTGTCTAGCAAACTATAATCCCCCCTAATTGGCAACTCACTGCTGCCTAGTGAGAAACTCACCACACCGCTCGGCAAAGCCACAGAAAATGCAGCAAGATGTTCCCGACATGAGAAAGGCTTTGTTAGATTTCTCATTCAATTCTGCCAAAAATCTCACCATAGCCCAAGTTGCTCAGATCCCTATAATATTCCACCCCGTGCTTTTAATTAGGTTGGAGCCCAGGACAAAGAGAGAATTCTGCAGTCATGAGGTGACATACGTTTACATATCAATGAGGGTGAGATAGAAATATAATCTGGCAACCCTGCAAAAATGGCAATAACTGGAAGAGACCAGATGTAAGTTTGAGAATCAGTTTGGAGTTAAAAAATCAAGGTGAGGGTGTATATTACAGCATTTATGAAGAATATACAGTTTGGATGTACTTGATGCCGAGCAGACAGTCAGATTAAGTATTAGGAACCAAGGGTAGTGTCAAAGTGATAAACGTAGATGCTGTTGGCTGGCTCATTCTCATGGATGCTGTCACTGAAGCATAACATGCAGATCAGATAGGAATGAATACAAATTATTGCACTTTTATCACAGCAATAAAATGAAAGAAATATTTCACTTTACTGATTACAAATTCAATTAATGTAATAGAGCGCAAAAAATGTTATCTTTATTTGGTTTATCAGTTAGAATTAAGTAAAGTGCCTTTCATTAAAGTCCAAAGACACACTAAAAGGGAACAGCCTCCTCTTCAGGCACACTGTTAGTGGCATTGCTTAGCTGTAGCAGTAAAGATAGCCCAGTTACCTGTTTTGTCAATCATTTTCCATTCGGAAGTCAAGAATTCAAAGTTTCTGGTAATAACTGGATTTTTAATACAAATATTTCCTAATGTAGAGAAGAAAACACAAAAATTGAGAATTAACCCAGATCACTCCTTCCACAAATCATCTAAGATGCAATTACTGGAGTCTGCCCAACCCACTGAATTTCCTGAAGATTGTTTCTGAAGAGTTTCTCCTTGTTCTTTTTTCTTACTTAATTCTTTCAGGGGATGTGAATATCGCTGGCAAGGCTAGTGTTCGTTACATTTTGATTCCTCTTGAACTGAGTGGCTCATTAGGCCATTTTCAAGGGCAGTGAACAGTCGAACACATTGCTATCTGTCTGGAGACTCATATAGTCCAGATGTTACAAGGACGACAGAATTCCTTCCCCACAAAACATTAATAAATCAGATAGGTTTTCTTTAAAGCAATAAATGACAATAGTTTCATCGTGACCAATATTAAAACTAGATTTCAATTTCAGATGTGTCTCCTCTCCACCTATCTTCTCCTCTATCCACCTCCCCCTCTCTCCCTATTTATTTCAGAACCCCCTTCCCCTCCCCCATTTCTGAAGAAGGGTCTAGGCCCGAAACGTCAGCCTTCCTGCTCCTCTGATGCTGCTTGGCCTGCTGTGTTCATCCAGCTCTATACCTTGTTATCTCAGATGTGTTAATTGAATTTAACTTCCACTAATTAGTGTGGTGGGATTTGAACCCACATTTCCTGTGCATTGGCACACTAATAGTCCAACAACATTCATACAACACAATCATCTTCACCACAGTACCCAAGTTAGTTATTTTTAAAGCTTCTCCCCAACAAAACAAGTCCAACTCAGAAGTTTACATTGTAGCTTAGAATCAAAATCACGTTAAGAGACTTGTTATCCTCTGCTGAACATGTTCTTTAGAAGGTAGGATGCCCAAAAATGCACACAAATTCCAAATGAAGTATCGCAAACAATCTTTGCAAAGCTAGAATAACTTGCTTTGAGTTGTAAGGTAAATATTGTGAAGCTACACTTCAAAATTTATCCTGCAGTCAAATGGCTTTGGGCTGAATCCCAGTGCTTCATTACTTTGGTTGGTACAACTGAAATTGACTTGTTACTCTCAGTGAACAACTATAAACAATTCCCAAATCTAATTTAGCTGCTTTTGCTGGATGCAGAACATAAATAATTCTTTTGTTTAGCTTTTTTCACAGATGCTGTCAGATGTTTTAAAGTGAAGAAACACATACCGCTACATTGCATTCCAAAGCAAGTTGTGACCTAGAAAACAAACAGAATTTAAGAAGGAAATAAGACATTGGCTCAATTGTATGTTGTACAGAATTACTCTCAAAGAACCACAAGAACAACAATAATGATAAAACTTAGTGATAACATGAATGTTATTAAAAATAGGTTCACTGGAATATGCATTTGTCCAAGCCTATACACTATTTATAAATAAGGAAACTTTACCTATTATTTAATTCTCACAATATCAAACACCACAGAAAATTAACACCTCAGTATGTTATGACCATTGGACTCCTCATAATATTTCAGCTCATTGAGATGCTGAAAACCTGTCTTTTTAGGATCATTATAATGATGGTGAGATGCCAAAGTTGCTTGATTACCATTACCATATATGTTATTTTGTATATATCCACACATACTCTGGTGCGTACTTACACATTAAAAGCATTTTAAATCAAAATTTAGGCAATTTTTAGATATTTGTAACAAAATAAAACAGTATGATGAGCAATTTTTCCATAAATTGAGAACTCACCCACTCCCCACCATTTTCCCCAGTCTGACTTTCCATAGCTTTGTCTCCACTTTTGCATCCAATGCATACCCTCTATGCTTCTCTTCACACTGGCTTAGAAAGCTACACATGAGTATTTGGGAGAGAGAGCACATCCTGAGTGAGACATTGCTTGAGTGTGTGTGTGTGTTTTTAGGAATTTGAAGCACGTTGTGAATTCAGTACAGAGAATTTTTGCTTTTTTTGGCTCATAGTTTGTAAAGTCTTTTTAACAGAATAAATTGAAGCCCAAGATTGGATGCCCAGCACAAAAAAAAATGTGACATTGCAGGAAATTAAGTTCATTGACAGCCATAACCAATCAATCAACTGAAAATTGCTTTCAGATTAAAGGTAAATAGAATCATTTTACAGATTAAAGAAACTAAGAACCAGTCAGAAATTTTAAAGAAAACAAATTAGGCAGTAAGCTGATTGAATGTCAATGATCTACCTTTAGACATTAATCCCAAGTAGCACTTACGTAAAGTGTAAAATTACTAAAAGATTAACTGAAAATTAACTGAAACACAGCAAGGATAAGCAACAGTTAGAGACTAAGAAAAGGAAACTTAACATAACAAACTTTTTTTTCTGATTAAGTATTTAGAAAATTTATCTAGAATAAGCAAGTTTAATTATCATTCATGGCAGATGAGGGCAATTGAGTGGAATGCAGGATCAGTCACATTTGTGAAGTCATGGATCTAAGATAACCACATGTGCAGGAGGAGCTCCCAACTGCAGAACCCTAAGCTCAATGCTTCAGCTGGAGACACTGGGTGTCACATCCACGAGGCTGAGGGTTATGGGGATAACAAGGAGAGCTGGTCGCACTGCAGCTTGAAGGACTCGTGGAAAGAAGGGAATGGGTAGCCAGCAGGCAGTGAAAAAGAATCAGGCAGGTAGTGCAGGAGTTCCCTGGAGTCCTGCTTACAAATTGGCTTTCCTTTTGGATATTGATGAGGGTGCCAATTCCTCAAGGCAGTGCATACAGAGCCAAGCTTCTGGTACTGCAAGAGGCCTGACTGTACAGAGGGAGGAGGAAGAAGAAAGCAAGAGCGATTGTAATAGGGGATTCATTAGTTAGGGAACAGACAGACATTTTTGCAATCACTGATGTGACTCCAGAATGGTGTGTTGCTGCGCTGGTGCCAGGGTAAAGGATGTCACTGAGCAGCTGCAGGGCATCATGAAGGGGAGGTTGATAAGACAGATGTTGTGGTACACTTTGGTCCTTTAGGAGTTGACCAGCTTGGTCAGTAGTGATGCTGCTGAGCCACTCTTGGAGGTAGACATTGAAGTCACCCACCCAGAATATGTCTGGGCCCTGCACATTCTATGAATGACAGGACATTGGAACAAAATCAGAATGAGCCAGAGAAACTCAATAAGTTTGGCAGCATCTGTAAAGGGAAAAACAGAGTTAACATTTCAAGTCCAGTGACCCTTTTTAGATTCAAAATGAGAACAGAGATGGGAATATGTTATTGGACTCCCCTAGCAAATACATCCTGACCATGTCTTACCCCAAGATCTGGGGAAAATTGCCTTTGCAGCCCAGTCATTGAGTGTCTTGAACCAACTTTGAGTCGATGATCTAACTTGGCCAGTTTCTGAGATTCCTACCATCACAGAAGACATTCTTCAGCTAATCCCATTCATTCCATGTGATATCCGAAAGCAACTGCGTGCACGGAGAAGAACAAAGGCAATGGATTTAACATTTAGCTGAAGAATCTGAGCTGGCCATGCCTCTATCTAAGATGTTAGTACAACTACAACATTCTGACAATGTAGCAAACTCTCCAGATGCGTCCAGTCCAAAACAGCCAATTACTGTTCCTTCAACCTACTTTCAATCATCAGTGGAGTGATAGAGGGGATCCTTGACAGTACTTACACAGCACTATTTACTCATGATCTGTTTGGGTTCCATTGGGACCACCCAGCTCCAGACTTCATTCATGTTCCAAAGATGGATAAAAGAGGTAAATTCCTGAGGTGATATGTAAAAGGCTACCCTTTACTTCAAAGCATTGTTTCATTGAGCATTGCATCAAGAAGCCCCTGTAAATTTGAAGTCATTGGAAATCAGAGGAAATCTCTCTGCTGCCTGGAGTCATACTTAGCACAAAGTGTTGTTGCTGGAGGAAAATTATCCTTGTCTCGGGACATGACTGCAGAACATCCATGGGCAAGTGTTCTATGTCCAACCATTTTCAGTTACTCCATCAATGACTTTCCCTGATGATAAAGTCAGATTCAGGGATGTTCACTGATAATTGCAACTGTTCAGATAATGAAACATTGTGTGCACAAATACAGCTAGATCAGGACATTAATCAGGCATGGGCTGATAAATAGCAATGAGCATTTGTGAAATACAAGTGTCAATCAATTATTATCGCCAATCTTCTTTGACATACAACATTACAACTGCTGAAGGAATGCACTTAAGAGAAGATGGTGTTGTAGCTGTAATGGCACTGATCAGTAATCTGGGGCTATGGGTCCAAACCCAACCTCTTCTGTCAGCTCATACTGAGGCTCCCTTGATCTCTGTTGGTTAAATATACATTAGGTTATTTAAAAAATAATGGAATTGAAAACGCATCTCAGTCATGGTGACCACACAATTGTCATTCATTATTATAAACACCCATCTAGTTTACTGATGTCCGTTAGGGAAGGGAATTTGTTATCCTTACCTGGTCTGAACTAGATGTGATTCCAAAGACATGGCAAGATTTGCTCTTAACTGTTCTCATAGAGTAATTAGGGATGGACAGCAAATACTGACTTTATCACTGACACCCACATCCCATAAAAGAACAAAGAGAAAGAATCTCACCCCAGCATTCTGAAGGCGACCATTGACCAGTAAATTGATTGGACTAGTCATATAAATGCCCTGGCTACTAAAGCGGGTCAGAGGCTGTGAATCTGTTGGTGATTAAATTGCTTCCTGACTTTCAAGAACTGTCCACCATCAACAAGAACAGGTCAGGAGTGTGATAGAACATTTTTCCATTACTCAGGTGATCTGTACAGCTCCAACAACATTCAAGAAGTTCAAAACCATTCATAAAGCAGCATGCTTGATTAGCACCATCTTAAACATTCAGTCTCTCCAGCAGCTCCAGTATATGCTATCCACAAGGCACACCACAACAATTTGCCAAGAACTTTCTGAAAACACTTTACAAACCTGCAACTCTGTCATCTATAAGGACAAGGGGCAGTTTTGGCAAGAGAAAAAAATATCCACTTGCAAATTTTCCATCCTGATTTGGGAATATATTACCATCATCACTGTTGTGTAAGAAAACTGAAACTCCCTAAAATTACAGTGTCTACCCACATCACATAGACTTCAGTGGTTCAGGTAAGGCCCTGAGCAGTGATGTGGAACAGAGGGGCCTGGGTGTACAAGTACAAAGCTCATTGAAAGCAGCGTTACAGGGTGGTGAAGAAGGCATTTATCATACTGGCCTTCGTCGGTCAAGGCATTGAGTATAGGAGTTGGAATGTTATGTTACAGTTGTATAAGTCATTGGTGAGGCCACACTTGGAGTATTGTGTACAGTTCTGGTCGCTCTGTTATAGGAAAGACATAGTTAAACTGGAAAGTGCCCAAAGAAGACTTACGAGGATGTTACCAGGACTAGTAGGCCTGAATTATAGGGAGAGGTTGGCCAAGATAGGACTTTATTCCTAGGAATTAGGAGAATGAGGGATGACCTTATTGAGGTGTATAAAATCATGAGGGGCATAGACAGGATGAATGCATATAGACTTTTTACCAGAGATAGGGAATTGAAAACTAGAGGGCATAGGTTTAAGGTGAGAAGAGATAGATTTAAGAAAGACCTGAGGGGGCAACTTCTTCATACAGAGAGTAGTGTTTATATGGAATGAGCTGCCGGAGAAAGTGGTTAAAGCAGGTACAACAGCAACATTTAAAAAACATTTGGGTAGGTACATGAATGAGAAACTTTTCGAGGGATAGGGACCAAATGTGTGCAGTTGGAACTAGCTGAGAGGGCAGCATGGACCAGTTTGGGCTGAAGGGCCTGTTTCCATGCTGCATTACTCTGTGACTCTATGAGTCTAAGAAGGCAGCTCACCACAAACATTTCAATAGTAAATAGGGATAAATGATAAATATTGATCTTGCCAACAAATCATACATCCTATGAACGAACCAAAAAAAAAGTCAATATATATTGTAAAGCTATTGTACAATTTTGTCAGGAGATATGTAAAAGAGAGTACAAAGCAATTTGCATCCCTACAGGCTATGGAATGACAATGGTGATAGAAAGGGCAGGCAGAGAATTGTAGCTACATTGTTGTTCCCAATTTCGAATCCAGGCTTACTTCTTTGCTGGGAGTGCAGTTACCCTTTACACTGGGATTTATAGGAACTTCAGTAATGGTTTTACACATGCTGGCAATTGCTACTGTT